TCGAGAGCGTGTTAAATATTCTTTTGAATTTGTAGGAATGTRAGCAATGCAAACATTGATGTGAATAGTCTCATTTGWCAWATTAAAAAGAATAATTAACTTGCTATCGARGCCTAAGTGCAACTGAAAAKGTGTATTGTTAAAGATACAATGAACAGGGGCTGCGGAGCGTTTTGGGCCCAGGGGGGGGGGGGACTAAGAAGATTAATTAATTTGTGATCAAGAAATCCTTTTTTATTCATCATTTTTTCATTTTGCAGTTAATTATATCCATTTTGAAATCACAAGTGAATCCTGCAATCTGATTGGTTCTTAGAAGGTTGATTTCCATTATGAATATAACTGTTAATGAATTACATTATACGAAAATACAACGAGCTTTGATTATGAAACAAAATTAAAATTTCGAAAGTACTGGGGGGGGGGGGGGGGGGGGGGGGCTGCAGACACCCCGAGCCCACCGGTTCCGCCACCTCTGATGAAATTTAATCATCATTTGTATGGACGAAAACTATATTACGTTGCTCTGATAGAATAAGAAAGCTAGACACGGGCAGACAGCCATAGAAAGAAAGAGAGAATGAAAATAAGAAATTATAAGAAATAAAATAAAACATACAGATTAAAGTAATAGCATCAAAATAATATACTCTGTTGTTAAAAAATCTGCCTCCCGACATCTACGACAAGGCATTTTTGATATATTACTGACATACCCATTAAACATACGCTGAGATATTTCATCATTGCTCCGCATGGTTGCGGCAGATACGTGCAAAGTGTTATATATAGAACAGCAGGGACGATATTGTTTTGCATGTCTGATTTAGTATAATTTTATGTTACTATTCTTCGTGTGCAACCACATGACTTGGAATCCCCTGAGAAATAAACAACAAAGCAATCGCCGCCACGTTGGATGAATGAACAAGAGAAACTAATGAGGAATGCTTTGTGATCTTCATCCAACATGGCGGTGATGACGTAACTTGCACGCCAAGAATTGTCATTTGTACTATAGAATAAAATAAACAACTCCTACATAGCATATAATAAATTCTGGATCGTTATAAACGTTAATTTKTACGTTTCAGAATTATTAGGTTAAAYAAATCTAGAGTAGTAAAGGCAACTGACAAAACCATGAAATAAAACCAAACTAAAYATTAACACATAGCAGCTATTTAGAGACAATTTGTGAATCCACATGACACCATTTTTAATCGTTTAGTTACTTTATTCATAGTTTATGGTGTATATGTCCCTTGTCGCATAATAGCTTGAGTTAGCATAATGAAGCCTATATATTTTGCAAGAATACTATTGCAAATAAAAAAATCTTGTTATGTAGCATTTGGTCTTGCTACATACACACAAAGCAGCCAACAGTGCAACCAGTCGAACCATATCTAAGCACAGCAAGGATCGAAATGTTCCGTTTTGGCTCATGGACGGCCATGGAACCGTTTGTACTCATTAAATAGATCATACCTGACTAATTTTTACAGTGCCTCCAYAATAATATTTTGCTTCAGCCGTCTGAGGAAATACCGGAGAACTTAGAGAAAAAAACCTCCAAGCAAGGGAGAGAACGGAAACAACCTCAAGGCACATATGATTCCAAGTCAGAATCAAACCCAGGACCACAGCGGTGACAGGCCGGCGCTACCACCGCTCTGCCACCCTAGCTTTCCCAATAGTACCGCAAACGCAGAAAAACCATGAAAAAAATTCATTGTTTCTAAATAGTCACTATTTGTTAGTATTTAGTTTGATTTTATTTCATGGTTTTTCTGCGTTTGCTCGATTGTAGTATTTAGTCTGGTTTTCTTTCATGGTTCCTGTGTTTACTCTATACTCTTCGTTTTCAAGTTACGTCACAGCGGCCATCTTGAAGGAACATCAACATAGGATTTCTTATTAGTATATCTATTGTTCATTCCTCCAACATGGCCACCGGTCTTTTAACGTTTGAATCTTATGGGAATGGTTGAAAACGATCAATACGCATTGATATTTATCAGTTCGTTTTAAGAAGAATAGGAATTTATTTTAGTTTATGTAATTTATTTCTCGGCGCGTTACCTTACCGGCAAGTATAAAGCAATACTGTTCCAACATGAAAACTAACATTAACCTGTTTTTATATTAGAAAAGTTATGACTATTGAAGGCACAATTATATTATGCAAGATCTTTAATTTCAGACGTTTCGCCTTTGACGSCGTCATCAGTGAATGCAAATACAAAGTGGTTTCCTAGAGTTATAAAGACTGAGCTCATTGTTCATTCTATTTAAAGGAAACGTCCTATACAACCATTCATTATGTTGTTTTTGTGATTTCGTATTCTTAAAGCTTCAATTGTTCTGCGCGTGTTAAAAATATTTTGGTTATAGTGTAGAATCTAGACTTCCAAGAGATGTCTTTTACTGCATGAGGTGTGTTAAAAGGTGCATAAGCACAGTTTGGTTCTCACTTCGTACGTGTTTTTTTTAATCTTGAGCTTACTGTTCCGAGCTTGTTTCCCCGATGTATATATATGCTTTGAAAATGTGAGCAGATAATCTTGTAGGCCACGTTCTTAGTAAGACACCTATCGGCGAATTTTACGGCGGAGCAGGTGTTATATTTGTCCGAACAATGTTGTTTTTCCTTCGGAGGGATAAAAATCCTAGATGTAGAACGACCGCTCATGTAGCTGCCTCTGAAAAAGGCTAGTCTAGCCACTTAGCTATCAAGTTGAGTTCCTTACTGAGTGAGTGCAAACAGCACAAGTAACTCGAATTTACGTCACCATTAGACTGAGTACCAAGTAGCCCAGTTTTCTCAAGTACATATGTAATTCATTCGTCTGGAAGAGCCTAAAAGTCGCCAGTAGTTTAGCGATGAAATTCCCTCTGAAGTGGAGTTACCATATATAGTTTATTTTCTTCGATTTTTGATTCCAACTATATTCTTCAATTTCATAGATTTTACAGCAAGCCACATGCAGTCAACGACTGCCTTTATTTATTTTTGGTCTTGAGATTGGTGGGACTGGTCGGGATGATTATGTTTACGTAGTGTACGTGCGATGGTGGATTTCACGGAATTTTTCCGGGTAGCCGTTCCTCATGTAAATGTTGGTGATGAGTTACTATGACTGGTGTTGCAATCGTGGTTCTGTCGAGCCGTGATAGCGCATTTAATTTCTCCTTTTAGTGTGCTTCTTTTCTGTGAGTTTGGTCCATGGCTATCCCAGGGCGTAATGCACTGACAGTGGATGGGTTTAATGAAGAGTGTAGATGAGAAACTTCCTGTGTCACGGTGTAAGGTCATCATGATGTCTAAAAGGAGGAGACGATCTCTAAGGTGAACTTGAGGGTTATATTAAGACTGTAGGCGGTGTTTAGGATCGTCTGGATCGATATATCTCTTAAGTTGTAAGGTATTGTTGAATGGAGATTGTATTCAAAGGTCCAAATTGTTCATGTAAATAATATATATAGCTAAGGTAGGGGCTAAGTTGTTTCCCATTGCCAGACCTGACTTCTGTGTATAGCTGTTGMMTTCTATGAGTACGATATCACTGGTCAGACAGAGGCGAAGCTTTCCAAATCTACATCATTCAGGTGTTTGAGGTAAGTTGATGATTAATGCTACAGAAGAATTCCCTGACTGCAGTGAATACGCCTTGGTTGTGTACCTTCCTCACGATTCTCTAAAGAAATGGATCCATATAGATTGCATACGTCCAAACTGCAGAAGCCTTTGACGTCTTCCAAAGCTGGTGTCAAATCCATGAATTCAATTCCTGTATTTTCTTGAGATGTGATGGTACGTGAGTGGTAAGGARATTGTTAAGGGATTTAACCAAAACTTGGAAAGACGAGAATTCACTGCATTCACTGATGCCGTYAAAGGCAAAACATCTGAAATTAAAGAGCATAGTATAATTGTGCCTTCAGAAGTCATAATGTTTCTAATATATCCACATCCAAGGCATGGCTACACATAATATTTTAACCCGTTTTTCAAAGGTGATGCATTGCCTGTCTAAGTTTATTATTAAACTTTTAATTTCACTAACTCGAAAATCAAGTATGACTAATTCCCCATTGTGACCAAAGCTAAGGCCTTATGGAGCCTCTCGTCACTGTATCGTCGCGTTGAGCATAGTTTGTAGAAGGAAATGGTTAAGAAGCCTTTTGATGTAGGTCTTTTGAGTACTTTTTCCCTATGACTGCGCAAAATCTTAAATTGTTTAACTATTGTTTTGCAAGCTAGCCATACTKGTCACATCTGAATGAACAGAGTGAAAATTGTTCTTTTTACAATTTCTTCAAAATACACAAACACTTTTGAACAACATTGAAATATTTCATTTCATAATCTCATAGAGGGTGTTTATGTTTAGTCATTTGCAATTTCCATCGTCCGTAAGAAAAAAGTTGTGGACGGTCTTGACTGATTCGGCCTCAAAATACATACAAAACATGCACAAAAGACTGAAGTACAACAAAACKTTTCCAAACCATTCCCCTCTATTAAGACTGTTAACTATGCGTTGAGTGAGTGAGTCTATATGAAACACCCACTTGAAACACCACTTTTTTGGAAACTGAAGAGGAGAATAAACATTTTACGGCAGATTTTCCATCGAAAAGAATCAAGTTTGGTGATAAGAAAAGATAAGATAATTAATACTTTTATTTATACACGGTTGACTTTCAGTAATAAATGAAGGAATCTAATAAATAATGTTATATAAATATTTGATAAAAAGTTAATTAAAACTGCTCCTCGCTGCCTATTTTATATATACATAGATAAAAACAGACATTTTAATGATTACTTAAAWGTAGTAAGCAACTTGTCGTACTAATAGTTTCGAGTCAATGAAGATACAATATTAGTAATTTTTCATTAATTATCACTGTTGAGCAATCCATCAATATTATATAGTAAAGTTGCCCTAATAAGGCTTAAAAATATGAAAACTTTTCAGCTGTAATCTAATACGCAACGAATCACGTTCAGCACCTTCGGCATTAACTCAGCAGCTTTCCTTGCCAGGTACGTGCGCAGTCTATAATCTTCTTGAAAGGTATTGTAAAGTAATTGTTTGGCATAGTTATCTTTTTCACGGCTTTAAAAACATAAGCAACTAAATGAATTTTTGGTTTGTTTACAGTTCTATGTTGTATAGTTGTAATAATATAGTAAWCAAGATGGCAATAAATAAGCGGAATATCTATGGCATAAGACCTGTTATACTTAACAGAAAAAAAGGATCATTTAAGTAACATTTCGAGCACTCTCTGATACGCAAGATTCACAACACACTGTAAAGTTTCTCAATTATATAAGTATTTGAAAAGAGGTCTTTCGGTGCAGTGAGAATTGGACTTAAATGTTGACCCAGAATAATTTGTAATTGCAGAGGAAGGCGCATGCATGCTTTAGTTGCTGTTAATTACATGAACAATTTAAAATTATTGCTCGGGGCTCAAAGGGCCAAGAGCTTAGGCTCGCAAACGCATTTCCGAAGTCCAGAAAATGACATCGAGCGCACGAGCACACAAGACCGAAGCTTTAGCGATTAGACCGTCGGTTGCTTTCCGTCCAATCTTCGGTGTATCGGAAGTGCTCGAGAGTTTCGGCCAGATTTTTTTAAAAAGAAATGTATGAGTTTCTAGGTGTTCGGGCTGTGCATTCGGACTAMCTTCGGATGAAATGAATCAGCCTGTTTACATGAAGAAAAATGGTGGGAACTAGCGGTAAACTAGTCATGGTGTCAGTATGTTATTTCACATACTTTTTTTACGGTGTTAAATTTATCCTTTTACACAACTGTTTACATGAAGTACTAACCAAACTGCGAGCTGGATTGATCGAGAATACAAGTGCTAAATTTTGTTTATTCATACACTATTTAGCATGCAGTGGAAGAGTGATTTAGCTCTTCTGTTAGATAACAGAATTTGAAAGATTTGTTTTTTGTGAAATTTTGATGAATGACCTTTGTACTTTTCGATATGTTTATATTAGAGTCCTAGACTGTTTTGATTAATGTAGTTATATGTAGTTTCATGCGTGGTACAACCTCCTATAGTTACGATCACCATCATCTGCTTGGTTTTGACTATAATTTGAGGGAAACAGGATATCGGATTAGGTTTAAAATTATAAAAGGACGTTATGCACTCGAATCGCGACCTATCTCATGGTACCTAAGTGCTTGAGTTTGGAATTCCTACCACACAAACACTTCGACTGCGGAAAGTCTTTCTTGTCGACCTTCTTCAGCCTCAGCTTGTGCCGAAAAATTAATCACAGTTTGTAATTACTGTATGTGAGATCTGATGTCAATACACGAATGGCAAATAAGAACCCATCCTTTCCATTTGAGCSGGTCATTACAATTCAAGTAAAAGACATTGTTTTGAGCATTGAATAAAAGGAATATTTAATAAACTGGAACATTGAAAAAAATGMAGGCAAACATTTGTTTGTGATTAGCTATAGCTCAACTTTAGCCAGGTGAACGAACGGATAGTAAATCCTAAGTTGGATCTGTAAAATTCCCTGATTTTTGTGCACTCCATCAATTTTGTATTACAGATAGTACAGATTGCATGTGTGCTTATGTTAACCAACGCTTATAATTGTGATTTTAATTGTGAAATTGCATTTGTAGCTACAAATATGACGGAAACACAAGAAAATGCTTCAACATCTAGAGTGATGAAGTGGATCAAGAAGTATTTCTGGGAAGGTAATCCATTTTACGACTTAAATGGCGACCTGAAACTTTAAAGCAATCAGCTAAAAAATGTATTTGAAAAACAGCTTCTGCATTGAAGCCATGTCAGATTCCCGGGGTCAGATTGGCTAAGATATTGTATATATAACCTGTGCAAATTAACGAGTCTGCAAATACGCTCTTCTGAAGAAGACCCAGGAGACAAGAGAAGTATTTTTTCAGTTTTTGGCTGTTGTTGTTGTAAAAAAATATAAAGAAAGACAAGATGTTAGCTGTTATACATACTTTCATCTCTCGTTCCACTGCATCCATACCCATGGCTGAAAATTTTATAATATTTTATTAAAAATTTGAGCTAGCGTCAAGTATTTGCTGGGTATACGCTGGGTTAATTAGCGCTTTTGCCACTTGGCATCTTTGAGCGGTCATTTAGTCTAAGTTATTTCATGAAAGAGATCAGACATTTCGAAGATCATACATGCAGTKCAACTGAAACACTAAAACCAAGTTTTAAGATATAACTTATTTGACATTTTTTTTAATTTATGAAACTTTATGCTAATTAAGTAAGCTGAAATTTTGAAAACAAGGATTCACCATGTAGACTACAATGATCCGTTGCCGGATTTCAAGCCGAGTGAGGACTGGACAAAATCCCCTAATTGGGTTGTCATGACATAAGACTTACATAGAAAGAAMAATCCTTGTTGAGAAAAGCACAGTTCCAAAATTTGATGTAAATCAGTTCAAAAGTGAACGAATTACAGCCTTTCAAACATTCTAAAAATTTCCATGTATGTGATCATGATCTCGCGAATGTGTCCGGAAAGTGGTCAAAATGCAGCCACATTCACGGCTTTCCATACAATCCTTTGGAAATTTTAAAATATTTGAAAGGCCGTAACTCGTTCACTATTGAACTGATTGACGYCAGATTTTGGAATTTTGCATTTCTCAACAAGTGCWTTCTTTCTATGTAAGTCTTATCTCGTGATTATCCAATTAGTGGATTTTGCCCAGTCCCCAGTCGGCTTGAAATCCGGCAATACTCATCTCTTCTACCTTTGACAGGTCAATCACTCAGTAAAAGACATGAGGAAGAAACCAAAAGAATAGGAGACAATGCMCCGTGGCACCGTATTGTCATGGTGAAGTATCGCCGTGTTGTGGCAATGATTATACCTGCACTATTCTTCCATTTCTGGTGGTGGGGAATTTTCATTAAGTACAATCTCTGGCATTTATTCAAAGAGAAATACTTTATGAGTATTACTATGGTATTTGCATCAATGATTGCAGGTATRCATGCATGCGGTATGCAGTTCATTCAGAGAACGTTGAAAACTAACTATTGTAAAATGAACTTAAATACTGAGTTTTGGGGGCTATGGACTTTAGATCTTTTGATCTAGGTTGCCTAAGTTATTTGGCTTGATCTCAAGCGTAACATCAGTTCTGACCTTGTAGCCTCCAGAATTCCTCAAAGTTCAAGTCAACAAATAAGTAATGGTCGCATGTGTACTCAAACTGTGACTGATTTTTGACATTTTTATACTAGTTTTTCTCCTTCATTATCGCCCTCGCCTCGAATATTCTTGGACTAACTGCGAGGGTAAACTTCACATGTAACTATAAGGATGATTCATAAATAAAACAGTTGTTGTTGTTGTTGTTGTTTCAACGTCTACTGTTTAATTCATATATAGCTCCGAAAGCATGGCGGTATCACTGTTCATTTAGAGGGTTTTTTATAATTATTTAATGATATCATAATCTCAGAATCACGCCTTTAATGCATAAATATCTTTTATCAGGTATGACCAGCGAAGGTGGAGGTGCTGTGGCGTATCCAGTAATGACCTTGGCCTTCAATATTAAGCCAAGTGTAGCCAGAGACTTCTCTCTAATCATTCAGTCATGTGGCATGTCAGCGGCTGCCTTTACTATTTTGTTTATGGTATGTTTCTTGGTACAAAACCATATATCCTGTTACCTTGCATTATCTAGTTTAAATTTTGACTAGAAACAGCTAGACTAGAAATTAGTCCCTTTCTTTCTTTTTTATCTAGAAGTGAGTTTTGAATGTCCATATTTTACTTGCAGAAAGTAAAGGTCGAGTGGTTTTCCCTTATTTTTTGTTCTCTCGGTGGCGTTGCTGGGGTGATTTTTGGACTACATGTGATAGACCCCGCACTTACCCCACCCTACAAAAAGATGGCCTTCGTTTGCATATGGTTTACATTTGCCTTTGCTCTGTTCCTTCTTAATCGCTACAGAAAGAGAACCACCTACAGACGTATCCCTGACTTCAAGGTCTGGAAGGCTCTCGTCTTAATCGTGACTGGCATTGTTGGGGGTATGTTTTCGGCGTTTGCTGGCAGTGGACTCGATATTTGTAGCTTCAGTGTYCTTACGTTGTTGTTTCGARTATCAGAAAAGACAGCCACTCCAACATCAGTGATCCTCATGGCTGGTAACACTATTGYGGGTTTCTATTGGAGGCAGATCATGATCCAGGGGGTGTCAACTGATGCGTGGGAGTTTGTTGGTGTTTGCGTACCTATTGTCGTGTTTGGGGCTCCTTTTGGATCGGTAATAGGCACTCATTTCCACCGCCTTGTTCTCGCGTCACTAATCTATATAATAGATACCGTTGCACTCATAGGCGCATTTTGCCTAGTGCCCCTTACACCATGGCTGATTGGCACCTCGGTCATYATTATCGTAGTTGGTTTTGTTTTATTTTTTGTTTTGACAAAGATCGGCGAGAGGCTAATGATAAATGTTGAATGGAAAGACGAGGAGGAGGATCAAGAATGTAGCACCGGAGCTGATCATGATGMCGTCGTTGTTAACACAAACGTAAGAGATGCTGAATCGGCATCCCAGTCTGGCAGTGACGCAATTTGCAACAGCGAAAGTRTGGCAGTTACAGAGACTGAACGAGTAACAAAGTTTTGAGGTTGACTTTTAGAAATGAAAGGATATACCAAAGCTCAAAATTTTAACATATAGATCAATCATTTGGTCTACAAAGTAATACACTTAAACCCATGAAATAGTTAGTAGTGTAGCAGTTGACTGTGGCTTTTTTTATTGTTGCCATTAGTGGCGATCCATAGTATTTTAGATGAGTGAAAAATTTCCTGCAAGGCAAAATTTTGAAAAAATTCTTGTACTAACTAGATCTCACCCCCCCCCCCCCCCCCCCCCCCTCCCGCCTCAAAAGTCTAATGTATCGTCCCTTAATTGATTGCTTCAAAATGAGTAGAGTGGATGATGCATTTAATACGTGAAAGAATAGTGCCATAAAATTAGTACTACATAAATAGCGTTGATTGGACAATGAAAACAACGAAATTTGCATAACTATATGCTATTTTGTAAATTAGTTATTGTGTCACGGCTTATGYGTATACATCTATTTCAAAAAACGTTGTCGTCGCCAGGACACAGTCCACAGACTTGAGYATGTAAAGAATCTCGGGATTGGCATCTAAATTTTATATTCATTTAATTCAAAAATTTCTTGTGGCTCATTGACGGTTTAAAAACGTAGAAACTTTACAAGTAAAATGTCTGATGGCGAAACTTGTTTGATCATGGGTTTAATACTCACAATACTATATTAGTGGTGCTTGCCGCCATTGAATTCTATCCGCACATAGGCACAAATATATTTTGAATATACTGCATTAATTATTCACGGAAACCCCGAGATGCTTTGTAGTCCAAAAATATTTATTATATAGATGACTTCTAACGCGCGCTCTCTGATTGGCCAAAAAAGTGTGGTTTATGAGAGTATAAACCACGATTGTGCGCGAGAGATTTTTGAAAAAGGCAACAAAATGGATTTTTGCTCAAAATCTATATAATAAAAGAAAGAAATAGGTCTCAGCCTGTGCTTTATAGTCTGATAAACGCACGCTTGGCATTTGAAACACACTCAAAAATGTCCAGAAGCACTAAAAAGCACTGTTATAAACGAGAACCACCTCCTGTAACACTACCGTATCCACTGTATAGAATTTTGCCTTGGAATATTTTTTTATCAGTACCATTTAATAGATACTGCATGCGTATAATCCTTACTAATCATTTCTTCTGAATATTTTTTATATTATTGCAGCGAAAATTCAGTATTCAGATTACATATAATATCACATATTTAATTTGGAGCTTCTTTGCACACAAAGAAACATAAAATTAATTCCAAACCAGATAAGAAAACTAATTGGTAAATATGACATACTTGCGTCAGGTTAATAAAAAGAATGTAAATATGACCTACATTATTATATACTTATTGGATTAAATATAAGTGTAAAAAATATCTAGTATAATTCTATAACCCCATACAATTGCAATACATAAGTGAAAATATGCGTGTCATAAATTGATATGAAATAATCTTTTGAACTTGAAGATTGCGAAGCAATCGAAGAGCTATCGGAGGGAGATGATACACGCGAGTTGGACTAGTTAATAAGTCACTAATTAATTTTTTCCTGTAAACATACTGGCATTTAGAAATCCGCAACCAAGATGGCGGACGACTCGGTGTTTTGGTACAGAAATGGGTTCTAAAACATAGCCTCCTTCGCAGGCTACTCCATCGGAAACGGACATTTTTTCTCTTCTTGGTTTTCCTGTGTTCATATTCTTGACCGAGAAGAACTGGTGTCGAGAGATTAGGAATTAACACAGGAATCCCACGGAGTAGAGTTGCCTGCGAAGGAGGCTATCTTTAACACACAAAATGTGATTTTTGAGGTCTGGAAGTTCTTGTATAAGCTTCTTACCAACTAATCTGTTGATTTCAGAAGTCGTTTTAGGAGATATTGTGTCAATATGGCACACAAAGATACAGTATTCTATTGCGATGATTTCAAAGGATTATTCCGATCCACGTCNTCAAGAGACAATCATATGACTGACCTGTTGTATCTTGCCTTTGAAAATAACGCGGGCTTGTATATCGTACAAAATACATGCGCAAACCTTTGTTAATAATTATTGAGTAATTTCCGTAATAAAAACATTGAAAAAGGTATAAAAATATATGTGGAAATTTCTGTCCCTTAACATGCCTCCCTCCTTAGATTCGAGCCTCCTGGCGAGTAAAAAAAAACAACTAAAATGTTTTAAGAAGCATGTTAATGGCTTTCAAGAATGAGGTACATGCAACATCAATGTGCGTATCTAAACAATGATTCCAAAATGATCATGATAACATTGATTTAAAACAGAATTTCCTAAAAAAAATTAAATTGCGTGTACCTGTTCAATTGGCCTTCTTTAAAACTAAAAGAAAAAAAATGCGAGTAAATATAAATTCCGGTTATAAAATTCCAAGTAATTGAAAAGAAAATTAACCGTGTTTTGGGTGGATTCAAAACAATTATAGAAATTTGGGCTAGGCGAGTAGCCACCGGAAGTGTTTTTTTAAACTAGAAAAGTCGCGATAAAACATCTTGTGCTATAACAAATTCTATCATGTTGTTCCGAAAATGTTTTTGATGTAAATGTTCCGTAAAAACAGTTCGTCAGAGAATGTGTACGTGTTCATACTGTCCTTAATCTTGTTTTTTTTTTGGGGGGTGATCCTGTGGTCTTGTGGGCTTCCTGTGGGTTGTTGTGGTTTAGCGTCTACCATCTTGGGTGTTCTGTAAGCGGGTGATCTGTCACAATCCAGGTCATCTGGACAAAAGTAGTGGGCAAAGGGTTGTGTAGAATACACTTAACGAAAGTTCATAAGTGTTCTTTTGGTTGTGGTTGTTCCATCATGCATTGCGCATTATTGATGTAGAGCGCTATTCTTACTTGAG